TCATCAAAAAGGCGTAAGAGCGTCTCTAAACATGATTCTGGTAAGTGCTTCAGGAGTTGATAATGTATGTTATCAGCACCTGTAGCAGTATCGTGAGCTTGCTCAAGAGCAGTATGGAGTTCATGAATCGAAATGTTTCATTATAATCTTCCCCATTATCTGAATTAATATTAATAGTTTTCCTTTCTTGATGTTTTGAAATTGTTGGAATGTAGGCACATAATTAGAAGAGGAAGAGTGTTTAGCGAGAGTTTCACCAAGTTTATTCGCAATATCTGATTTTGGGTAAGTTATTGATCTCCATGTTTAAGATGATGGACACTAGATTTAGTACCTTTACCTTCAATTTTCTGGACCATGTTCCATACCGTGGACATGGACGTTCGAGAATATATTTTGATACATAATTTTGCCAAGATTGGCGTTTATTCTGTTTAAAAGTACGCCGCGCTTTAGCATTTAACATTTTAAATTGATTTTAATTATGCACCATAGGATGGCGACGGAAATAATGTTCTGCTGTTTTCATTGCCTTTCTAGCTTGTTTGCACTCATCATTGAACCACGGTTTTCGGATTTGTGGAATTGAAGAGGACTGTGGTATACACTCATCAGCTATGGTATATACAGTTCATCAGAAAACAGTTGATAGCATCAGGAACGTCAATAAAAAGTTCAGGTTTAAGTTTTTGTAGCACACAGTGTTTCATATAAAGCCCAGTTAGCCTTTTCAAACTCCCGCCTTGATGATGGAGGTGCACCAGATAGAGTTACAGATTTTAGTATAGTAGGAAAATGGTCACTTCCACAGAGGTCATCGTGGACTGACCATTCAAATTCATTTAGTAGTTCTGAATTTGTGACTGACAAGTCGAGAGCAGAATAGGTTCCTGTACCAGGGTGTAAATATGTGTTGGAACCATCATTATAAATACATAAATCATTATCTGAACAAAACTCCTCCAGTTGTTTACCTTTAGCGTTTGTATTTAATACAGGGCCTTGGGAGTTGGTCATATAGAGCTTGAAGATCAGTTTTGTGAAACGTTGAAGACGGAGATATATAGAGAGAGCATAATGTAAACGCAACGTGCAAAGTTAGTCGCACTGCAACAGCCTGAAGATTAGTAGTAAGTGCAACAGGGCTATAGATAACGTTCTGTTTGATAAGGATCGAAGATCCGCCAGTGGCCCGATAACCTAGAGGTGAAAAATAATGATACGCATTGAAATGGCGTAGGTCAAAAGTATCTGTCCGTTTTAAATATGTCACCTGCAGAAAGAGTGCTGACGGTGTAAAATCCTGGACTAATAGTTGCAATTCATTGAAATTAGTCTTTAGTCCTCTGCAATTCCACTGTATGATAATATTTTGATAACCTATCTCTTTGGGGATTTGTGGGGATCTACCCCGCACTTGTTTGGTGGGCGACAAGCTTTGTGCCCTAAAGCGGACGTTTTCGGACACGTCCATGTCCTCAAGTGATCAATATTTGTTGTACAATTTAATTCTATTTTCTGACCCTTTGGGGCTCTGCCACTTAGTTTTTCAAAGAATCTGTCTTTTTACCTTTGGTTTTAACGGTTTGTGAAGATTTTGGTGTTGACTGAGAAGATGACTCATGATCAGAGGATGCTACTGATTGGATTTCAGACGTACAGGGAAGTGATTCTGGGGAGCAGGACAATTCCTACCCGGACAATTGACACCCGGACAATTGCCACCCAGTTATTTTCAGTATAATGATGATGACAATTCCCACCCAGGCTTGAAATATGGACTTTGGTGTAATATTGAAAATGATAAAATATAGAAATTTTGACATTAAAGAAATTTGACATTGATGAATTTTTCACTTTGATGTAATAATGACTTTGATAACATTTTGGGATTAAAAAATTGACTTTGATGACTTTTACTTTGATGTAATATTGATAAAATATCAACTTGATGAAATTTGAACTTAAGTGCAAACATAAGACCTATTTACTAAAAATAACATTGACGAATTTGTATTGTGAGCAAGTGCTAGGCAGATCAAATGTTTATAAAAAGAATTTTTTGAACTTGGGTGCTACTGTCTTAAATACAAACATCTTAATATGAATGTTTTGATAAGGTGAACATATATACATACTTTGATAGAAAAACAGTACAATTCTACAGGTTTCATCCTTTGTTCACGCTATCAGTTCATGCTATAGGGCTTGTCATTATCAGTAAACATGTAAACATGTCAATATCAGTAAAATATGAAAAATTGCTGTAAACTCATGTATGTCACAAAATAGTTCTTCCTTATTTAAAAATATGCTATTATTTGTTGTGTATTAAATAAGATCAATAAAACCTGATTAGTGCAACCATACTAAAGCATGTCATGAAGAAAGTAATAGTTCATGTTTGTTTTTATATGAAATATTGTTTTATGGTATTTATGTCAAAATGAATAAATGTTGAAACTGAACTAAGTACTTCATGTTATTTTTATTTTGGGGTGGGAATTGTCCGGGTGGAATTGTCCTGGGTGGGAATTGTCCTAGGTTGGAATTGTCCTAGTTTGGAATTGTCCTAGGTGGGAATTGTCCGGGTGGCAATTGTCTGGGTGGGAATTGTCCGTATGGGAATTGTCCTAGACCCGTGATTCTGGCGTTTGAGTAGATATTGTAGATGAGAAAATCAAAGGAGCTTCTGATGTAACCCAAGTCAAATTGGTTTGACAGCTTGCAGAACATTTTGTTACTCTTGTTGTTGCTTACGACGATGTTTTGGTTACGGAAGCATAGCTCTTTATGTTCAGAGCTAGTTAGTTTTTGGCATCCGCAAAACTAATGTTTCGGGTGAATTGTATTTTGTTGATCTCCATTTGATGCTTCCAGACAGGACAGTCTTTAGAGAATGATGAGTGGTCACTAGTGCAGTTTGTACATTTCTTAACATTACTGTCACAATCTTCTGTTGTATGTGTCTTTTCACCAAAGTGAGCACACACAACAGACAATGTGCAAGTATTAACCCCATGACCGAACTTTTGACATTTGAAGCATCTAAGAGGGTTTGGAATTTACATTTCAACGTTGATGTTACAGTATCCTGCTTTTAGTGATTTTGGAACATTTGGAGAAGAGAAAGAACATAGATACGTATTTGTTTTAAAGTAGCATCATTTCTACGGGTTGTGAAACGCTTGACATAAAGTACGCCTTGATCCTTCATCTCGGTGACGATGTCAAGTTCTGACATGTCAGCAAACATGTAAGCCGTAACATCGTAAGCCGTGTTTAGTTAGTAAGATTTCATCATCCGAGCTCCCCACCCACCACGGAGTATCACAAGGACAATGCTAAAACAAGTGGATTTCCAACTTGCAGCACCAAGGATACCCGGACGATATACTCCAGCAGAAGAATTAAAATATTACTAATTCCACCAGATTGACCCATGAGCCACCGCCTTCTGGGAATGCGACTCTAGGCAAAAGCATACATGAAATTAAGTATTTGAAATTCTGAGATCAAATAATTTCGCCAAGACTTAAAGAAATCATGTTATCAGTATTAAAAAATGTTGTGCAACAGTATACAGTTGTAGCACAGGGCTTGGCGTGACCAGCCGATTGATAGAACCGGGCCAGTTCTACCACCCGTCTAGGTGAAGTAAGGGGCGAAGTGGTGTGTTGGGAAAAGGAACGCTGTTCCTGGAACCAGTGCCGTCAACCACCAGACTCCCGTCCTCCACCGACACAGGGCGCAACCCACGGCAAACGGGTTGGTGGACCAAATATGCCCCTGGGTCCACAACAGCGGGTTGAAGAGCGCTTAGTGTTACCCAGCACCCACCACAGGAGGTGGCTCTTCACGGGTGCCGAGTGAGTTTAGTTTTCACAAGAGAAAGAAACGGGTGACTACGCGTGGAGTTCCCTGAACTCGACGTGTTACATTTGAAAATCGAACTATTATAAAGAGCAATAGTAAAGAAATCGGGATTCTTTGTATAGAGACAATCCGGCTACCACGAAAATTTGATGAACCCGGAAATTTTTGCGAAATGTTCCAGAAAGGTTTTTAAAACGTTTTATTCACATGACTTTGTGTGGTTCCAGAAACGTTTTAGAAGCATCTTCTTAAACATTTGGCTATAATGTTTTAAAAATGTTTTTACGAAATGGTTAGAAAAGTTTCACAAAATGTTTTATTCACGTGAATTTGTTTGCTTCAAGAAACATTTTTAGCAACGTTTTCTCTGAACATCTGGTTTAACATGTCAATGGTTTGCAAAATATTCCGCAATACAGTCGTAACGGTACATAACGAATGACATACACGACAGAAAGACCACGTGTTATGACGTGAGATTGAGTGAGTTACTAATTGGCTCAGTGAGTAACGTTACTAAACTGCATAAGATTTAAAGTAAGTTTGTTAGTTTTTGGTTTGTAACGGTGTCCTCGGTCTACTCCCATTTGTGAGAACTCCCATTTGTGAGACTCCCAGTTGTGAGACAGTGGAGTAGGTAATTAGCAAAGAAACACACCTTACTCCCCTATCTGATAGAATGGATTAACCCCAGCTAATTATGGATTAGCTATTTAACTGAATATTGTGGAGGTAACTTAATAAAACTCTAAAAGATAAAGTAATTAACCTACTCAGATAAATGGCTTTAAAAAATAAACACTTTGTGTAGGTTACTTCGTGATCATTTGAATGAGAAATTAAATTTACCTACTCAGATTTACGTGTTTGAAAAATCTAGCAATAACTGTTGTCACTATAATTAATCCAAATGTATTTATTAACCTTTGACTGCTCTTTTCGGATCACCATTATGGCAGGCCTTCAACAAGTAGAAAATATCGCCTGTTCACGATAATCTTGTTCAGTATTTCAGTATCTATTGAAAACAATAAATGCTCTTCAACGAACAATATCTTCTGTGTTAATTAACTCATTAATGAACTATGCCTCCTGCGGGTACTCTTCAGCAACAGGGCTGTTCCCACTTTCATCGTAGGGATGGGGAAGCACCACCTGTGTGCACTGAACCATTAATTAACGCGTCTCACAACTGGGAGTTCTCACAAACGGGAGGACACCGTGTCCTCCCATAAGAACTACAGCTTAAAACAACACATGTTATGGTCCGGTGCACAGATTAACTACATGCTGTTACCTGCGTCTGCGTAATGGATTTGCCCAATAAAAAACAAAGAAGCATTGTCGCTAAGGTGACATAATCCCCCTCCGCAAATTATCAAATCAAACATAAAAAGTAATGAAAGATTAAGATGAAGTGAAATGTCAACAAAAAACATGACCAGTCAACCTCTTTTGATATCTTCTCTTTAGTCAAGACTGACTTTGACCTTGACATGAATGTCATAGTGTATGAAATATGCAAAAATGGCACTAAAGAAATTGCTTATTGAATGAATGAATAGTTTATTCTCATGAAGATCACGCAATAGTGACATAGAAAAAATACAAATGTACAGATTTGTTTCATGGGAGCATACGTAGTCCGGTTTTCACATAGTTGCTTATTTTTAACAATAGTGCTTTATGCGTACAAGACATGAGGGATATAAATTTATCTAATGATGGATAATTACAATAATAGTTTGGTAGAAATGAATTTCTTACATTACTTAAACATGGACAATATAACATGAAGTGAAGTTCATCTCCTATTGTGTTCTTACACAGTGTACATAATCTTTCTTCTTTAATAATATTATACCATCTACCTGTTTCTATTGAAAGTTTATGGTTACAAGTTCTAATATAGGTAAGCCAAATGCGTACATTTAATTGGAGGTGTAATAGATAACTTTCAAGGTATGGAGATATCTTAAACATATTATAATAGTGGCCTTTAGTAGATTTCGATTTACATTCGTTCCAGTGTTGATAAAACTGGTTACATAATATAGACTTAAGGTTACTTTTAAGCCAAATCTTACTTGTATTGAAAAAACATTCAAGGGAAGTCCTGAAAGTCTGTGAAGAAAATCCAGTGAATTCAGGTTAACATGCTAAATTCTTCAAAGTGTTGCAGTGACCTTGAAAATTATGTGAAGGTTACCAACATTGACTAGGCCCTGCACCTTCATTAGATGAAGATTGGTGTCAAATATGAAAAAAATCAAGTGAATGTTTTTTGCGATATCTTCCTGACTATCTTAACATGCAATTTAACATGCTGAAATCTTCAAAGTGTCTTTGTGACCTTGAAAATTAAGTGAAGGTCACCAAAATCGACTGGGCCTTGCACTTTTCCTAGATGAAGCTTGTTGTCAAATATGAAGAAAGTCCAGTGAATGGTTCTTGAGATGGTCGCCTATGACGACACTTAGTTTTCATTGTACACATGAAGAGCCGTTGAACGGCGAAATATCGTGTGCAGATAGACAGTTCATCTAAAGATAGGCTTATATATTTAGTGTGATAATTTGGTGTTCAATCTGATCCATGTAGAACTAGTTTAGCCCCGCTTCAATTAGTTGCCAACTACATCGAGGTTCTGAATTGCAGTCAATAACAATACTATTTTAACTTAAAAATCATTCGATTATATTTCACCTTTACTCCAATATACTAAACTTGGCTTGGTTTTTTTTCTATCATATGAATCCAAGAACATTCACTAACTACAGCATACCTTTCTCTCTTGTCCTCTACTTTCTGTTTATTAGATTACTTTTACAACAATTACTGGTCAATGGGATTTTAAGCATGTAGTTCTTCTGGGTGAGCTGATGGGCTGTGCTCATTACATGCCATGGGAGTGCCTATATTCAGATAATTAATCCCTAATTAATCCCTGTAGTTAATTTGGGATGTAGTTAAAATGGGATGTAGTTCTTATGGGAGTAAACCGTTGGAGCGCAACTACCTTGAAGCGGCAAACACGAAGCATATTGACAGAAAGCTCCGGATCTTGACTACCTTTGAGGTTTCTCAGCAAATGATTGGTTTACAAAATAACTTATAATGTCATGATGGCATTTTGCCGATACCGGTTTCGACTGGATATATTTCCCTCCTTCGTAAAACGAAATCTTGCAAAGCGATGTATGTTTGTGAACAGACAGAATTGGGAAACAGTTTTAACTCCAAAATGGGTGAATAAAACATCACATGAAACTGTGTTAACAAGGATTCCCGGACGATTCCCATAGGGAAAATACGTGTGTATTTGTGCATTTGATTGTTTGTCTGTGTGTGTGTGTGTGTGTGTGTGTGTGTGAGTGAGAGAGAGAGAGAGTGAAGAGCGTGCACTGTAATTACTACGACCCCACCATCGTCCAGCTGATTCAAGATTCTATCTGCTACCTATCTATCTATTTATTTATCTATCTTCTATCTATCTGAGAGAGAGAGAGAGAGAGAGAGAGAGAGAGAGGGAGAGAGAGAGAGAAAGATGTGAGTGTGTGGCGTGTGCATGGATGTGTGGTGTCCGTTTGCTGTGGGATGTGTGAGTCTCACGTGTGTGTGTATGTGTGTATATATTTAGGGTACATACCCCGTTTAAAGCATAATAAAAAATTCTACAGCCTTAAAGGAAAAACCTCACATAAACAACATACTTGACCTACAACCTGGTGCAGTCTATCAAGACTATACAATTGCTGGACACCGCCCTTTTCGAACAGCAGCTTCTGCGCTCGCTTTCATAATGACACAGTGCTGCATAATCCACCTGGTCTATATATAGTTCAACACCCGACACACAATACGGGTATACGAGTTACACAAGCCATTATTCGAATGTATCGCTACAGTGGGAGCGGTGCAAGTGAAGCCCTTTTGAACTTCCTGATCGAATTGTGCATTTGCCTTGGTGCAGTCTCTTGGTCTAGTTGCTTGTCAACAACGCAGGTGAGTACATGGAGGTTTGTGAAAACTCACGTCCTCCTTTTACTGTTTTAGTATTAGAAGATGGGTAACCGTGATAGTTTCTTTCCATATGACGTTTATGCTGCATGAAATCAGGTCGATATGACCTCGTTTCTCAGCGTCACGGCTAACACTCGGGTTCGATTCCCAACATGGATACAATGTGTGAAACCCATTTCTGGTGTCTCTGCTTTGATATTGCTTGAATATTGCAAAAACCAAACTCACTCACTCGTTGTCATCTCCTTATGTTTCCAGTTCACCATGGCAACACATGGTAAAGGTACGACACAGGACAGTGCTGAAGAATACCACTCTCAGATAGCGGTGCTTATGTCCCCTGTCATTGTCACCATGGGGATAATGATGCTGGTCGGCTTCTTTGGCAATATCCTGGTGATCTATATCTACGCTGTCAGGCTGAAGAGAAGCACCACGCACCTGTTCATCACCGCCTTGGCTGTTGCTGACACCGTTGTGTGCATTGTGTGTATCCCAGTAGAAATTGTTGTAGTCCGTTATCTGTACTCCTTCGATATCCCATGGCTCTGCAGGGTGTTCCGGACGATTGTCCTTGCCTGTGTGACCACTTCAATTTCCGTGCTTATATCCATCGCGGTTGACAGATACAAAAGGGTATGCACTCCTTTCAAGTCTCAGATTTCCGTCAAAAGGGCGAAAATTGCAGTTGGTATTGGCTGTATTGTTGCTATAACTCTTGCGTCACCCTCGATGGTCATTTTAGGCAGGAAGACGGTCAACAGAACTGTTGTCGGCTACGCATGCGCCACAGATGACAGTATGGTCAAGACACCATTCCCAGGGCTCTTTAACGGGATGCAACTTCTCATTGCCGTTTTCATCATATCAACTGTTACTACGCTTTATGCGCTGATTCTGAAGAGAGTCCGAGCACAGAAGAGGTACAGGGAAGGGATGAATCCTAACGGTATCCCTCGCAAGGCCTGCTCAACACAGTCAGGTGAAGCGTCGTCTGTGACGGGCACAGTGATTACGTCAACACGCGACAGCACATTGACATCAGCACAGGATAACATAACGACGAGTGACGACACGGCGACATCATCACACGACAACGCTGTAACATCAGCACATGAAGGGTCACCGTCGTGTGATGATACGATCACCTCGAACGACGATACGACGACATCGCCAATTAACACAAATGGAAAAAAGGCTGGCCTAAGGAACGTGACACACAAGACCACGTTTATGATGTTCATCATCACGGCCGTGTTTATTCTCAGCTTTGTTCCTCATCTGGCTCTGATGGCGACACGGGCCGTACAGAAACACACGTACGACCACCTAGAGGGGGCGCCACTGACTCTGTATAACCTTTTCCTGAGAACTTACTTCATCAACTCTGTATCCAATCCTATCATATACGGGTTCATGAGTGACAAATTCCGATCACAGGCAAAAATTGTGTTCAGACGGATGTGTTGTAAGAAGTAATGTAATCACCGAGAACTGTATTCTTATCAATGTATAAAATAATGAAGGATACAACTTCATGGATAACAACTTATTGCTCGATGTAGATTCTTACACTGTTATCAGGCTAACCGTGACTACAACCAAGTGAAGGGAAGTATATATACTTGTGGTATCATATGCATAATAATTTTGTATTTTTTCATTCACATCTCAAATATGACTGGGTACAAATTGTCAGTATTTCGTCTCATTCATAGGCATGAGTCCTAAAACATGAGTGCTTGAATGCCGGGATAATATTCTGTGTAAGTTATGTTCACATATGTTTACTAACTTGCCCTGACCAAACAATGGTTGTCGCTTTATATGATCACTTCACAAACGTATCTTACATCGATGAACAGTTTACACATTTAGTCCAAATGACATAGGCAGCATTCAGTCATAAGAGATAAAGGGGTTTGATAACTTTGTATACCAAACATTTAGGGAGAAATGATCCAAGGACGTATACTACTACTGAAGATTTTCATTGTATACACTTTTGGGACTTTTTTCTTGAACACAAATTAAATGATATCACAACAATGATCTCTTTGTAACTGAACGCAGGTGTAGCAGTGACGTGGCGAGTTATTACTGTTTCGTGTCATGCCAGTGGGTATTCTTTAATAACATTAAGACCTCTTCCGTCGTATGGAGTCTGAAGCATCTGCCTGGAGAGGGGAAGTACCCATACATGGAATTTTTAACTGTAGATCTGAAAAAATAGATGTCGATAAATATTTGTGTTTGTGAAAATGCTCAAGTCCCTGAGTCAATATGACCAGCATCGTGATCCATAAAATGCTAGAAAGAGTATACTTTCATCAACTGAACTGTTGACCCTGTTACTTATTTCCCGCTATTAAACCCAGCCGAGGTGATTTCCTGTAAGAGTGTTGAACTGATTCACTCTCAAGTGTTAGCTGATCGACCGGTGTCCTCCCAGATCACCTAATTTCTCCCCACAAGGTACCAAAGTACAATTAGGTGATGTGAGTATGTCATGCTTGGCTGTCTGTACATCTCTTTGTAACATATGTTATATTTGGGATTACACCTTTTTAGTAAGGTGTACAGAATCTCGTACTTTTGTTGGGTTGAGTCCCATCCGGGATTCGAACCCATACCCTCAGAGTCAGGTACCTTATCGCCAGCACACAAAGTCTGCCGCCTAACGCGCTCAGCCACCGCGGCTACCACAATAACTTGTCAATGTTAGTCTTGTCAATAACTTGTCAATGTTAGTCTTGTCAATAACTTGTCAAAGTGTTGTTTTAGCTACTCTCCTTTTATTACTGTTTATATAGTGTACAGCTTGTGTATTTACTCTGATTTAATTAAATAAATCATTAATTTTTGTCAGAATAACTTGACTTTTGTCGTATTTTGATACAAATAACTGAGTGTAATAAAACTCTTACCACGTTTTACCCTTTTTTAAAATTAATTATTACTTTGTTCTTGCTTTATGAAAACCTGGTCTCACGATCACAGCTCCATGACAACATCAGTCAGTGCTACAAGCCCGACCGACTTCATTAATATGTAAATCAGGAAACAAAGTCCGCAGGTTGGCGCGGCCTCAATTTGTTTCGCTGTATAGGCGTTAAATAATGAATTTGCAGAGAGGTGCAAATCTTGATATCTTTTGTTGTGGAACCAATGAAAATATGTGTCTTCTGACCTCCCTATGAATGAATGAATGAATGAATGAATGAATGAATGAATGAATGAATGAATGAATGAATGAATGAATGAATGAATGAATGAATGAATGAATGAATGAATGAATGAATGAATGAATGAATGAATGAATGAATGAATGAAAAATTCTCGTGCATGTCATTTCCTTAAAAAGAACCCCATTGTCCACTGGGGCTCGGTAATTCTTATTCAGGATCATTGTGACTTGTATGCATTCCCTATTTTACAATGTTTTTGACTGTTATACTTAGAAAAAGGGGAACTTCATTTGTAATTTACGGTTTAAAATTATTTGGAGATATATCGGAGTCACTCAATATTGATATGATAATAATGAATGTTTTGAGAGCGCAACACCACTTGTTCTTCCTTGTAACCATAGTTGTTTGTACAGTAATAGCTCTTGAAATATGATTGGTGTATGGCGTGACATTTGCATGTGAACGATTTTCATTCAGTAGTGTGTGATTCCAACACGAAGGGTCACACACCGGGGCCGAGAAACGTTCAACATTTCTTCTTATTCTTCTTCAGTATATTTACAAAAACTGTTTGCTACCCAGCCTGTAGCACGAACAAATTCAATGGGCGACTTCTGTCTTCTCCGGAGCTGATCCTGCAAACGGCGGAGGCGAGCACTTCCTCTCTTCCTCCGTTAAAAAACACCAGCAACTTGTCACCATCTCCGTCTTCAACAGCAAGAAAGCGACGTCCATCAGATGAAGTAGTCCGTCTTCCTTCTAAGGTGACATCTGTACGATGTTATAGACTTGTTGATAAATGTGACACTTAAAACATTCTAATTTGTAATCAGAGAGAGATTATCTTAGCTTCCAAGTTTCAAAACAAACAACCTTTACTATAAGTACGAAAAGGTTTAATCCGAGTAGAGAAATATCAAAACAAACAATGAATGATCACAAGATCCCCGATTCACTTGGCTTCTAATGATTATAGGTAGGCCGTCGGAGTCTCCCTTACAGGTTTATTTCAAAGAATAGACAAACTGGGAGTAATCAACTATACAGTTACAGTACATTATTAAGTGTAGGGGTGCTCCATTACATGTTTATGTTCATGAGTAGTCAAACTGGGAGTAGTCATACTGTGAGTAGTCATAATGGGAAGATACCTCTCACGCTGATGTTGGCGTGGCGTTCATTTCTTCGTCGCCAGACCCGACCACGCCAAGTTAGTCCAAAGTGAATCTGGACTCAACCGAAAACATGACACGTGACCAACGACGATTCCTCCAATGTCTACGTGCCCAACACCATTCTCTTCTTACAGTCATGTGTCGATCAGTCAAGTGTGGCACAACCCGGGGCCGTCGGGCATGCAAGTGAGCTGCATGGAAGCAATTCCTAATCATCTGACCTGTAACTCGAACACCAGTGTTCTGATATAGATATCTGGTTTCTGCAATTTGATTGGCCGTTACAGCTCGATTTCTTCAAGCCTGCTTCCGAATGAAACGATCCTGTACTCTTGTTGTCGACCTTGGACGACCTGGACGGGGTCGATCGTCAATATTTTGGTTTGCTGATATCTGTTCCAAAGGCTGCTAATGACTGACTTCGAAAATTGAAGGTATTGGCCACTTCACGCTGGGTAGTGCCTTTGTGCAACATGCCAATTGCACGTAAACGTTCTTCACGTTGCATACGCCGCCTTGCAAATTCAAAACAAAACCCGGCTAGAAACAAACACTAACAACTATGTGATCAACAGATGCAAGATGGTTGTCACAATGTATGGTCTACAGTGATTTATCGACTTTCTTGAAAACCGTCAAAATCAAGAATGACACCCCATGAACGTGTGTGGGGCTAGTGCGTGGTGCTAGTGCATTCCATGTTAAGGTTGGTGCTAAAGAGAAATGGTGGTGCGTTATACGATGTCTGTCTTGAAAAGTGTGGTAACGCTTATTCTAGGTTTCCTATCCAAATTGAAAGTTCAGGTTCCCTACTTTTGTCAAGAGTATACGAAGAAACATTTCTCAATATCCCTTATGACACCATTCAGTGTAATTATCCAGATTGGAAAAGGGACCTGAAGCTGGAATTAGCCTCCCCTTAATGATGTATTAAATAATGAGTTAAACAGACAGTATTGCCTCACTGTTGTGGGACATCACGTCGGCACACCCATCACCCAGTACACGCTGGTTAGATTCGGCAAATGTGCTTTGTTAATATATCCAAAAGGACGGTAGGTCTTAAAAGTACACAAAAGCAACATTTAAAGATCATTATAATAGTCATGTGAATGACAGTCAATACATTAATGTTAATTTCACCCTCCCTTTTCAAATTATTCAGGATTTTTACGGTAGAGCTATATTTTCCTGCCTAGACGTTGTCAAGCTGTTGATCACTGAATTGTCTGGCCCAGATTCGATTATTTACAGACCGCCTTCATATAACTGGTATATTGCTGAGTGCGGCGTTAAACATCAACTAAACCAAAACCTAGACATCTTTTACTGAGACAAAAGGAAAGAAATGGTAACACTGCTCGTGATGATCGAGTCTGACATCTAAGGGCCATAACCTATACTGTAAGGCCTGTTGAGATTTACGTGTATATATATTACAATGACATTTATTGTTTATTGACACAATAGATGCAGAAAATATAGGTGTGCCTTCGTCATGCATGAAAGTTTATAACTATATTTTATAAACCCATTTATGTGCAAGGGTTTATCAAAATATGAATTAGGAATAGAGTGAAATCCAACATTCAGGATGTATATCACATAACGGTGTCACTTCCTTGTGTCTATGTGTATATCATTGTCATTGTCAAGTAAACCAACAAAGGGAAATTATTCCGCTCTAGAGCTAGATTGATAGGAATGTAAACTAATGTATGTGTGCGTATGTTCTTCTTGTTTCCTTAATGCATATAAAACGTATTTACCCAGTCCTTGTAATGCAACTCACATTGAAGAGTGATAGTGAGTAAATTGTCCCATTCGTAAATTGTCCGTCCGGAATACCCACATGTAAACAACAACTTCCTGTTGGGAACAATGACTTGATTTTCCACACGGCTATGTATACACTCATTGTCAATAATTGACTCAGGCTCTGCAACCTATTTCTCTTTAAACATCCATTTGATATTGTGAAACGAAATAGACAATGTGCAATTGTAACACCACTGCTGTCACACATCCTGGGAGTAAGCCATCACTCAATACAATGTCGGTTAGACGCAGTAAAAAGCATGTGGACTTCCTGCAGCATGCTGGTCCTTGATCATTGAACAGATGTTTCTCACTATCTGTAACAGTTGTAAATCGTCATCTGAACGATGTTTCTTTCGACATGATGTTCTTGGCTCTCCCGGTTACATGTCAATGTTAGTTTCATGACTGTCAACACCCCAAATGTTTGATTCTCTGCCTAATCAAAGCTGCCTTGGTTTACAAAGAGTTAGTTTATTAGTTTACTGAGGAAAAGGGAAACAAATGGTTTGTCAATCCTTTGATGAATTGATTACAATAATGAGAATCAGAGGCAGAGCGATATGCTTTAATCCGACATCTTTGGGCTGTTGCCATACATAACCAATACCGCTTTTACGGTTATCAGTCGATTTGAGAGCATGTTCATTCATCAAAATGATCATCACTCTTTGACAATCACAAGCAATGTTTACCTTCGGCATACAGGAATATTAAAAGTATTTTGTTCTGTAGTTATCTGAAGCATTTTGTGAAATATAAATTCTGACATAACTTATATGGAATATCAGGGATGTATAAATGGTAGAATTACTTGACATATGCACAACTTTAACTTCATGATAATTTGGCATGATGCATGATGGGAGATGCGACAGGACATGGTTTCACTGAGCTCCCACATTGATGTCCTAAATCAATGAAAATACTGTGAGGAGTATGGAAATACATGGGGGATTTGTTATAGAAACATTATAACTACCCATGTATGTGTAATCTACCAACGGATGGCAAAAATATTGTGCTAATTGAAATGGATTGTGTGGACACCATGGTTTTTCATATCGGAGACATATTGGATGACATGCTATTGAGTGAGTAAATATATCATTTCCAAGTGATTTTCAACTCTTATAAGCAACCAAACGGTCCAATGACAGACTCTGATAAACATTAATGTTGACGTTTGGATAATAAATCAGTTTAGGCTCCACATTACAAAGTTGGACAAACCGCACTAAAGTTTCATGTCAGTCTCCCATTTAACCTCAAAACGACGTCGCAGCTCACCGGACTCACCAATACTGGGCGTTACAGACACACTAAGTAAAAGAACTAGATCCTTTTCTGATAGCTCGGTGTTCTTACATTGTGACAGTGAAACCGAAGAGACAAACATGGCAACCGTACTTACTCAACAACTTATAGAGACTCTAAACTCACCATCTGTATTGGAATCACTGAGTAAAACTCTTGCCACAGCTCTTATGCCTCAAATTAGTGCCACTCTGGATCTGAAATTAGTCCCTCTAGTGGAAACTCTTCAACAAAACTCTACTAAAATCAAAGTTTTAGAAGAAAAGATTGAGGGCATGAACGAGAGGCTTGCATCTAAGGATTCTCAAATTGATGAGCTTTACCAGTATGGTAGAAGGAACAACATCAGGGTATACGGTCTACCTGAGAGTAAAACGAAAATACTGACAAACTAATCTTAGAGCTGGCGACGGAGTTGGGTCTCAAGCTCAAAGTGGAGGACATCGACAGATCTCACAGAACAGGAGATCCAGCTAAGTACAGCCAGTCGAGGCCTAGACCAATTCTTGTCAAATTCATGTCGTATAGAATCAAACGCCAGGTGATGAGCAACCTAGCCAAGCTGAAGAATCGAACCCCGAAGGTGTTCGTGAACGACGATCTGACGAAGGAGAGGGCCCGCCTTGCCACTGAAGCCCGCCAACTAGTCGCACAAAGAGACTAGCAGGAACTTGGGCTCGAGACGGTGTGATCTACGTTAAGAAACTAGATGGTTCTGTGGCCCTGATCACCAAGAGATCCCAATTCACTAGGCTCACCGAGTCATTGAGGCTTAAGATTCGTATCAAACTCACCCAGGGTCCAAGGGATACTTTGGAGTATACGGACGCAGATGACAGTGATAATGACTAGATATCTATCTAAACTTTCAACAATCGTTTTCTCGTAAACACACTGAGAGATAAATTCTTGAGTGTTGTATTATTTTTATTTTGCTTACTTTAAACTTAAACATAAAATGTGAGCCGGACTGCAAATATATATCACCAATAAATGACAAGTGCTCCATCAAAGAATTCACACAAACATTATGAGCATTGGCAAGACATTCCATCTTGTAATCGAACTTTCGGATTCCGTTTGTGATATTTATACATCTGTATTCTTGACTGGATAGATCAATATTGTTTCATGGAGCAGTTGTGTTTTACGTTCATGTTTCATTGATGGACACACAAACATGGTAAGTCAACCATCAGCATACGTGTTATAACTGTTACAAAAGAAAACGGTTTTGCAAATAATTGAAATTAATTATCTTTGATGTAAGATATAATCAATGCTCAAGACATATCCAGTGGGAATTCTGACGACGCTTGCCGATACATGTGTATAAAACTATGATCCGTCAAGGTATCTTTTCGTTCAGGCATCACGCGCTTCATGTAAATGGAGCAAGATATCATCATGCATCACCAACGTAGTAATGCTTTAAAACATGTAACGTAGCGCCGGACTGACAATATATCGTCAATGAAGATACATGTACGTGTTCATAAGTGGATCGCATGTCCTTTAGATGGAGGAATTACTGTTTATAACATCGTTATTTCTATAACGGAGGAAAGTTTTCAATAGTGCCCTTCAGAGAACTTACACAGACACTTTGAGCATTAGAAAGGCATTCCATCTTGTTATCGAACCTGTCAGATTCCGATTGTGATAGTTGTGTATTTTGTATTCTTGACTGGATTGGCCTGTATTATCTCATGGAGCAGTTATGCTAACATTCATGTTTTCATTGTTATCCGTAAACGCCTGATCTAGGCAATTACAGTGGGAATTCTTACGACTCTTACCGCTACATGTTTATAACACTATGGTCAGTCAAGGTTACTGTTAGCACGGAAAGTCCGTGCATCTCGTGCTTCATGTAAAGCGAGCATGATATCTCTGTGTATCAGCAACGTTACGATGCTTTAAAACATGTAGCATTGAGCCAGTTTGACAATATATTTTTAATGAACATACATGTACGTGTTCACATGTGGATATATGTGGGTCGCATGTCTTTCAGATGGAGACATTTCTGAGTATAATAATGTTATTTCTATAACAGAGGTCAGCTTTCAATAGTGCCCCATCAGAGAGAATATATACAGACACTTTGAGCATTGGAAAGGCATTCCATCCTGTTATCGGTTTCCGTTTGTGATATCTGTACATTTCGCATTCTTGCCTGGATTGCTCGGTTTTGTTTTCATGGAGCAGCTGTGTTTGCACTGATAGTTTTGTTAGCACGGAAAGTCCGTGCATCATGTAAAGCGAGAGCATGATATCTCTGTGTATTAGCAACGTTACGATGCTTTAAAACATGTAGCGTTGAGCCAGATTGACAATATATTTTCAGTGAACATACATTGATGTGTTCTTATGTGGATCGCATGTCCTTTAGATGTAGAAATTATGGTGTATAATAATGTTATTTCTATAACAGAGGTCAGTTTTCAATAGTGCCCCATCATAGAATATATACAGACACTTTGAGCATTGGAAAGGCATTCCATCCTGTTATCGGTTTCCGTGTGTGATATCTGTACATTTCGCATTCTTGCCTGGATTGCTCGGTTTTGTTTTCATGCAGGAGCTGTGTTTGCGGTCCTGTTTTCACTGATAGTTTTGTTAGCACGGAAAGTCCGTGCATCTCGTGCTTCATGTAAAGCGAGCATGATATCCCTGTGTATTAGCAACGTTACGATGCTTTAAAACATGTAGCGTTGAGCCAGATTGACAATATATTTTCAGTGAACATACATTTATGTGTTTTTATGTGGATCGCATGTCCTTTAGATGTAGAAATTACTGTGTATACTAATGTTATTTCTATAACGGAGGACAGTTTGTTTGTTGTTTTTTTGTTTTTCTTTGTTTTTTGTTTTTTTCAATAGTGCTCCATCAGAGGACTTACACAGACACTCTGTGCATTGGGGGATGGGGGGGATTCCGTTTGTAATATTTGTATATTCTGTACTCTTGATTGGACTGACCAGTATTGTTTCATGGAGCAGCTGTGTTTACGGTCAACGTTTTCACCGATAGACACATATAAAAATAGTAAGGCAACTACCAGCATATCCTATTATAAAATGATTTTGTAAATAGTGAATTAACTCACCTTTGATGAAATATATTATCCGAAAAATCCCTGCTCCTGTCGTTACATGTTCACTAAACTGACCCGCCTGGGATTTTGTTAGCACAAAAGTACGCTTATCTCGTGCTTTCTGTTATACGAGCCAGGCATCATTACGTAATGGCAACAGTTATGATGCTTTTCTATTTTGCTCGTACAAGCCTTGATAACTTAAGTTTGCAATCTTGACTTAAAAGCTAAACCAGCTCAGTCTGGTTTTACTACTTGACAGTTTACTGCATCGTCAGCCTTACTAGTATACATTTCCTATTTACTGCATATTACTTCTCTTCCCTCCTTTCTTTTCTTATCCACTGTATGACAATTCTCTATTTCAACCCCCAGTATTTCAAGCCCCTAAACAGTATTTTAATATTTTCCATTATGACTTATGGAAAATTATTTTATGTTGAATTTGCGTTGTATATTTGTTTCTTGTGTTTTGAATACACACACATTGAGCTTGTAAAGGTGAAACTTGTTATCTTGATGAAATGGAAGCAGCAACCTGAGCGTATTTCACATCCTTTGACAAATAACCCCGTCTGTCCTCAAACTGATCTGTTTATATTCATATTTGACGATGCCGGTTGATATCTCGACATACCGACAGACAATAGGGTTTTGAAATGATTTCACAGTTAAATTCCTATGCAAAATTTAAAAACTTCATATGCCATAATGACGTTATGTTTATACAATCCGCAAGTGCAGCTGATTATGTTACTTATTCTTCTATGCTGTGGTGATGTGCACCCAAATCCAGGCCCACTTGCTTATCCTGACTTAAAAATAGTTCATCTGAATGTGCGTAGCTTAAGAGAAAAAAGTTGATTTAATCCAGGCAGAATTAAGTGACTATGATGTTATATGTTTAACAGAAACATGGTTGAATGTCACAATTGATAACAATAATATTCTTATCCCCGGTTACCACGCCCTTTTAGGAAAGATAGACCATCAAAAGGTGGAGGTGTTGCTATCTATGTGAGAGAGAACCTGCATGTTACACATGCTGATGAGTTGTCTCCCTTAGGTTTAGAAGCGATCTGGGTTAAAGTTGTGTGTAAAAACAAGAGCTATTTGATTGGAAACTTTACAGAGCAGATAAAAGTGATCTTTATTGGGAACTAGTCCTCCAATCAATTGGTAATGGCATTGACATGGGCATAGATACTATTATTGCTGGCGACTTTAACATCAATATACATAACCAGACTAATAACATGATTGACAATCTTCTTGATACATATGATTTACAGCAACTTATCACAGAACCAACAAGGATCACCCAAACGACTAGTACTTTAATTGATTTAATCTTTGTTTCAAACCCTAATTGTATTCGCACTTCGGGTGTGCTTGTTCCTTTTTGTAGTGATCATTGCCCAGTTTATGTCTCTGTTGGGGGCTCTGATTCAACGCCTTTAAAATTTAAAAGGAAAGTATTTTATTATGATTTAGCTAATACTGAGGGAATGAATCGCGGCCTTAACAACGTTGACTGGGATTCCATCTTTAGATGTAATGATATTGATTTACTAACACATGAATTTGTTGATGTTTTGAGAAATATATGTGATATTTATGTCCCAAACAATGTGGTAACAATAAGACCTCGGGACAATCCATGGATGAATAGTGCTATAAGAATACTTATCAGGAAAAGAAATAGACAGCATAAGAAAGCAAAGACTCGAAATTATGATAAAGACTGGCAAAAATTTAGGCTTTTACGGAACAAAGTAACGGCAGCCGTAAGAGCAGCCAAATTGAAATATACTTCCGATTTAGATGATAAGATCAATCAGGGGGAGTAATTCTAAATTTTGGTGGGCTTTAGTGAATAAGTATATAAAATCCAAAAATGGAGATTATAAGAAATTTCCTTCGATTATTCATAACGATAATATGTTTAATGATAGTAAAGATAAAGCAAATATATTTAATGAATATTTTGCTGACCACGCACAAGTTGACTATCCTGATAAGGAGACTCCTACACTTGAACGTAAAGTAAAGACTCAACTTGCGTCTATTGTATTGACTACACAAGAAGTAAGAGACATCCTATTATCAGTTGATATTTCCAAAGCGAGAGTGGACCAGACAAAATAGGTAACAGATTTATCAAAATGATCGTGCCATCCCTTTGTACTCCTCTTACAAATCTATTCAATTCATCCCTAGAATATTGTAAATTCCCAGCTATTGTTATTCCTATTCATAAAAAAGGTAGTTTTAATGAATGTAAAAACTATAGACCAGTTGCTCTTACCAGCTGTTTATCAAAGGTCTTTGAGAAATGTATTTTTTAAACATGTGTTTAACTTTTTGTAGATAATAACGTATTAACGAATTTGCAGTCGGGATTCATGCCTGGGGATGGAACTGTATACCAACTGACATACTTGTATGATTTTATACTACATGCATTAGACAATGGCAAAGAAGTCAGGGCAGTTTTCTGTGACATTAGCAAGGCTTTTGACAAGGTCTGGCATAAGGGAATCATAGCGAAATTAGAAGCTTATGGTATTAAGGGTAAGTTACTTGATTGGTTTTCCAGTTATCTTGACAATAGATTACAGAGAGTAGTTATAGACAATTCCAATTCAGATCTAAGGAAAGTCACTGCTGGGGTGCCACAAGGATCTGTCCTTGGGCCATTACTATTTTTAGGCTACATAAATGATATCATTGAGGGTATCAGTAGTAACATTCGTCTTTTTGCCGATGATACTTCGGTATATGTTATTGTTGATAATCATGTTGTTACTGCCGCTTCCTTAAATAATGACCTAAACAGGATCTCTCACTGGGCTGAACTATGGCAGGTTAGCTTTAATCCTGGTAAGACTGAAGCTGTTTTATTCACTCGCAGAAATACCGGTAACCAACTTCCAATTCCTAAGCTTAAAATGCATGGAGTAGACATTACTGAAGCCGGCTACCATAAACACCTAGGAGTAACCTTGCAATCAGACTGTAAATGGAATTCCCACATTGGTGAATTAGTTAAAAGGTTCGTCCATTGGTAAATTGTCTTCGTAGTTTTAAATATAGATTATCTAGAAAATCATTAGAGCAAATGTACAAGTCATATATATTACCAACGTTCGATTACTGTTCGCACCTTTGGGATAACTGTACTAAAGAACAAGAAAAACTTGTCGAAAATCTACATTTAGACGCACTGCGGACGATTTGCGGGGCAGTTAGAGGAACAAATCATGACTTAATATATAAGGAAACTAACTCTATGCCCCTAGTTGACCGTAGACAAATTAGCAAGTTATTATTATTTTACAAAATGGTTCATCATATGACACCAGTTTATTTAACTGATCTACTGCCCGAAAAGGTATCACAGTTAAGTGACCATAGATTAAGAAACAGAAATAACATTCAAACTATAAGGTGTCGTAGTGACTTGTATAACAACTCGTTTTACCTGATACAATACGACAATGGAATGATTTGCCTGAGAATATGTACGATATTGAAACCATAGGCCAATTTAAAATGCATTCCAATCATCTAAACCACCCAATTTAAATATATTCGATAAAAACTTTGGTACACGTTTCTGCCAAATTATCCACTCACGCCTCAGACTTGGGTGCAGTAATTTGAAAGCGCACATGTTTGAACGGCACATTTCAGTTGATCCATTCTGTTCCTGTGGTCACCCCTATGAGGATACTTTACATTACTTCTTTACTTGTCCTAATTATTCTAACATCAGACATCGCATGTATTTTTACGAACATGGATATAATTTAAATTCTGTCCTAAATGGTAATCCAAACAAAAATGTACTTGTAAATTCTTTCATACTACAATCTGTCCATTCTTTTATAATAAAATCGCATAGGTTTGATAAATGATTAATAATGTTTAATACGCAGGTTGCTTGCTTTCCTATCATGCTGCATATTATTTAATATTTGTTTTATTCATGTATCAATGAAATGGAGAGGTATTCAAATAAGCCATTACGGCTTGTTTACCAATCCTTGTTCAATATATTTTGAATAAAATATGTTTACACTAACTTCATGATAAGCACTTTTTGATTGCACACTTCTTCCGTCAGCGAGGCTGAAACGAAAATGAAAGCAATTGTAAATTTGTTGGACAATGTGTTTTGCTTGTATGATACACGGACATGGATTATTTTCTTCCTTTCAGAACAGAACAGAACAGAACAGAATTTTATTTCAGTAACAGGCCTCCGGCCCAAAATACATGTACATAAATTGATGATATGTAGAGCACATATATATTTCATTTAAATTTGTGTTTCTTGTCAACAAAGTATAAAAATAGACATACATCCTTGATAAAATTAACATTTTTACTCTGTAATATTGATATAAAATTAATAATTGATGGACATTTACTAAAATATTTTGATATGTACTTATTTCTGATATGAGAATATGCATCACAGATATAAAACACGTGCCATTCATCTTCAACAACGAAGATACCATTTAATTTACAGAACAGGCAATGCCTTTCATTATATGCAACATCGGTGTATCTGCCCGTTTGAACTGCTAGTTTAAAATTACAGCACCGAAATCGGGCATATATAGTTTTTACATATTGAGGGATATCATTATTTGTCAAGTAGCTCTCAACATTTAACAAAGATTTGAATTGCTTACAGTAAAGACATTTACAGTTACTGTCCAAAGATGAACTTAACTGAAGCATTTTGTGAAATATAAATTCTGACATAACTTATATGGAATATCAGGGATGTATAAATGGTAGAATTACTTGACATATGCACAACTTTAACTTCATGATAAGCACCTTTTGATTGCACACTTCTTTCGTCAGCGAGGCTGAAACGAAAATGAAAGCAATTGTAAATTTGTTGGACAATGTGTTTTGCTTGTATGATACACGGACATGGAACAATTTTCTTCCTTTCGACTACACTGAAAGAAAAATATGAACTGCATATGTTACCTAATACCTGTAAATATGTTTTGTTAATTAACACTTATAATATAAGTAATATTCGAAAACTTGGTAGGTATATCCAGCATGATTTTGTATTTATAAGAACTTAGTTAATCACCTCTGACATATCTCACGATTGAATGAGCCCCGATCTTAACCCTTTGGAGCATATCTGGAACATGATTGGTCGTTGTGTGCAACAAAGGGGTCCTCCTGTACACAACCTGACCTAATTGGAAGCTGTTTTACTCGAGGAATGGCGTAGACTGTCCCTTCGGAGGATCAGGAGGCTGATAGGGGTATGAGGAGGAGTGTGTTGGCTACACTAGGTGACAGGTGACATTTTGAACACAGTTCAATGAAGTTGTGATACCTGATTGATCAGTATTCACTGAATTAATTAGTCAATCAAGAAATCTCATCTTTAAGCCACTAAACAAACACCAATCAGCTGCAAGACCAGATCGGTGAACATCAAAGGAAAAACAAGGTCTGCTTCATGTGCATAGTTTCAAACCTAAAGGTCTGCTTCGTGTGCAGACACCAACCAATACTGCTTGCACGGTTATCTATCGATTCGAAGATATGTTCATTCATGAAAATAATTTAGTTTTCAGTTAAAAAATCTTTTTTTTATTGGTTCATTTTCGTCTAAGATAAATTCTGATAAGACTGAAATGAAATATCCGGGATTTATATATGTGGTAGCATTGCTTGGCATACACAATATTAACTACATGACACGCACTATTTACAAACACACTTCTTCCACTCGTCAGCGAGACTGAAACGAAAATGAAAGCTGTTGTAAATTTGTTGTACAATATGTTTTCTTTGTATGATACGTAGATAAGAATGGATAATGTGTTGTCTTGTGCATATGGCCCAGATCCCAAATCAGGTGGACATCACGGAGTGTCCATGGATAGGTGACCATGTTTGACAGGTTGACTCCTGAGGGTTTCTAGAACCTCAGTTCTGCCCCACAACGATACACATGTGACACAAGTGGCCTCACCTTTGGCAAGTGAGTTTGTTCACAATTGCCTCTGTTCACCGATCAGTGAATGGGTACCCGGTGGGATACGTCATATGACTATTAACCTTCTAGCGCCTCACAGGCAGCTTGGTTATCCGGGGAAATAATGTCAGCATGTTGTATGCTCTTAAAGCATGCCCTTGCGGCGTTGAGCTCAGTGCTATATAAGTGGCCACATCATGCAGTACTGAATAACACCCTTGAAGTTCACATCCTGCTTTGTGTTATTTGCTTTGAGCTGCGGAGTGCGAAGGGCGTATATATGCAACAATCTGTTATACGACTTCATCAGCCGACAGCTACCTATATGTGACCAGTGTGGTCTTGTGAACACTGAGGATATTATTGATACTCCACCATCCATTGTATGATAAGTAAGTATTCTTACATGGTCTTGTGAACACTGAGGATATTATTGATGCTCTACCCTCCATTGTATGATAAGTAAGTATTCTTACATGGTTCTGTGAACACTGAGGATATTATTGATACTCCACCGTCCATTGTATGATAAGTAAGTATTCTTACATGTACACCAAACAATGAATACATTGGTTCAAAACTATTTTATATGAACAAAGCGCCTGTCTCATATCAGAAACTTTCGGAATTTGTATTTAGGAGGGAAGTAGTTTTGTTTTTGCTTGTCAAATGTAAGTGAATATTTAATAGTTTAAAAGGAGTTGTAGTACCCGATCTAGAATGTGATTGAAATATGTACTGGATCTTTTTCTTTTGACAGCCTTTTGTTTTCTTTGATTTGAGATGAACGGCACTGACAGAAAAATCACGTTTGGCAGGAGAACAGTGGTTGACAATGAAACTATGTTTGATGACGTTAGTGCAACAGGTGCTGCACTTGAACAATATAGCGATCGGGTAGCATTGCAACTGACGCCCGTCGCTCTCTTCTTGGGGATACTGATGCTGGTGGGTTTCTTTGGGAATTTAATGGCATGTTACATCTACACGGTCAGGTTGAAGGCCGTTTCTTCTCGATTGTTCCTGGTTGCGCTTGCTGTGTTGGATCTGATCATGTGTAGCTTGTGCATCCCAGTGGAGATCGTCTCTATACGGTACATCTACCTCTTCAACCACAACTGGCTTTGTAAGTGTTTTGGCACACTGTTACTGTATTGTTCTGTAGCCTCTGGATCAATCCTTGTGGCTATTGCGGTGGACAGATACAAACTGATATGTAAACCATTTGGAAAGCAGATGACACTACGGAAAACCAGGAGAACCATTTATCTTTGTTTGTTTGCAACTGGTATCGCTTCCGTACAATCAGGGATTACGATAGGGACACGGACTGTACCAGTTCCAAATTCAAATATCTCAGGATATACATGTGCAACCAGTGACGACATGATAAACACATACTATCCTTTGGTGTACAATGTAGTTATGGTAATATTATTTGTGACGGGGATTGTCATATTATCTACATTATATTTCCGTATTCTAATGCGGGCAAGAAAACAGATGAAGTTTCGAGAAAAGTTAAAAAGGGATAAGTTTGTGCATTTAGAGGATTTAGGTGATAAACCGTTGGCTGACGCAACACATCAGACACGCGCTAAAGAACAGGGAGAATCTCACTCGGGAGATGCAGACTTTGAGGGGGTGTCAAGGCAAGGAGGACGCTCTAACTCCAACGCATTCAAGCCGCTGTGCTGTAGATGGACTAGAGCATTGTCAAGGCAAAGGGGGAAGTTTTAACTCAATCTCATTCAAGCCGCTGCGATCAGTCACTCATCAGAAACAGGGAATCCCATTCACGCCTAATGGATGTTGACGTGATGTTTCAGATTAGACCCAGTGATGCATCACATTCATCAGTTGGACTTGAATCATCACCTGGAATTAGAAATACCGATAAATGTGATTTTTCTGGTGGAGACAGTCATTTGTTGAGCATACCTACGGATCAGTGGACACTTCCGGCTGCTGAGGAAGCAGTCCAAATAAATGTCGCCTGTGCAAGACGAAACATGTCCTTGGACAAAAATGATGGTTCTCTATCAGAGATTGATCAGGTGCCAAGAGAACAAAAGGACGATGCTCCAGAGCAAACGGAAAGGGCTATGGCGTCGAAGACGACCACTATGATGATTGTCATAACAGTGGTGTTTGTGGTGAGTTTCCTGCCCCATCTCTGTGCAATGGGAGCCCGCTCTATTCTTCAGAAAACATTTGAGGACCTTGACGGATCACCTCTGGTGATGTATCACCTGTGTCTTCGCTCGTATTTTATAAATTCTGCAGTTAATCCGCTGGTGTATAGTTTCTTCAACCTCAAGTTCAGGAATGAGGTTAAAGGTGTTTTTAGAAGGCTCTGTGGCAGAAACACAGGGACGTAGAATATATAGCATGTCATCATTAAACCGAATGTTGGACTGGCATATATCCTTTGAAGTGGTCCATATTGGAATAAAAAATATCTGAATCATGATGTTGTATCAGTCTTATTTAGAAATATTAGAAAATGTCAGGTAAAGCTGAGGATGCTGTTTAATTATGTGACATATAAGTAAAACCGACCTACAGTCTTAAGGAGAGGGTATCTTCATGAAAAATAGTAACTGTTACACGTTTAGTACTGGAATTTACCGTACATTCGCTATTTCGACGGTTATCTCGTTAAGACCAGGTTGATGGAACGGTTGGATTCATGCATTCACGTGGTAATGGGTTAACATGGCGTTCTATTGCCATAAATGACTCACTATTATCATCAAGAGAACCTAGTGCAATAGCGGTGTACTATGTCATAATAGTGGCTTCACGACCACGCTATGATGTAACGGGTTAGAATTACGCATTCCTGCCGTCACGACCACGTCATCCTCGAACTGGGTAGAATGACTTACTGTTGCCTTCACAACCACGCCATGCTGCAACTTGGTACTACGATGTAGTAATACCTTCATATATGCCGCCATGACAGGTGGAATGAGGGACTGATGATACCTCCTTTTCTTTGACCACATCATCTCTGTCTGCTGGAGTCCATACACATCCGTAAATGGGGCGGTGGGGCAGCTTAGTGGTTAAAGTGTTCGCTCGTCAGACCGATGACCCGGGTTCGATTCCCAGCATAGGTACAATGTGTGGAGCCCATTTTTGGTGTACCCAGCTTCGATATTGCTGAAATATTGCTAAAATCGTGGCAAAGTCATACTCATTCACTCTGTAAACACTTCTTAACAAATGAGAGTTGTGGGTTAAAAGAGGTACTTAGTCCCTAGCAACCGTTTGCTAGATGGAGAGGTCAGCAGGACCTGTGACTTGTATGACTGACCTACAGTGTGAATAGTTGCTCACAATGTCGATCACTCGTTGCTATTTTGTTTTTTACATATCTTTAAGATGTAATTGTTTACCGGTTTGTTTATTATTTAACATCACTGGTCGTATTTCTGTTCAGTATTTCTATGTCGGTGTGCTTAATCTGAATTCTGACATCCCAAAAGAGATCTTCCCTAGATGACATCACACGTCAGTCACAACTGGCTTTGTAGGTTTTATGGAACACTGTTACTGTATTGCTCTCTATCCTCTCTATCAAACCTTGTAGCTGTTGCAATGGACAGATACAAACTGATATGTAGACTATTTGGAAAGCAGATGATACTACGTAACCGGAAGCCACTGATGACTCGATCATGTTTGTTTCCTGCTTTTGCAGCTTTTCTCAAAGCCCTGAAGCAGTCAACTTCGTCATCTGAATAATGGAAGGGAGAGAACTCTGTCATGGCATCAACTGTAAAAGCTGTTAAAAAGAAACCAAGCTCGACATGAGGAATTTCCTTATTCTCGGAGTGTATAGATTTTTGTACCATGCCAATGTTTCGAGAATAAGTCAGTTCTTATATTTCCCTGGTGAATAGTTGCATTTCTTGACTCACTTTTCCTATCATTTTGTTCCTTTTGTTACTTGAAACGAAAAATATCAACCAAGACGGTTTTGAATACACACATAGTATATATACTGATTAGATACAGCATTTCGTGAAAACTGCATCACATTTGGAAAGACTTGCTACTTACGTCGAATCAATAATTATTACATATTTGTGTCTGGTTTGAATTGCACACATTGTGTTTTGAAGGGACACATATGATTAGTTATGTCTTGTTACGTAAATTTGTGCCTTACCTTATTACCTCGCTGTCACTGTCAATTGGCACAGTTCGATCTAACCCGTTTTCACGAGAGTTTCAGTGGTCATTTAATAAACTTTCAGGACAAAAGAGGGGTGCTCACCCCTACACACACACCACCACCACCCCCTCCCTCTGGATCCGCCTATGTACATATCTACATAGATACTAGACAATCAAAGCTACGAAAATCTCTTTATACATAAATATTCTTCCCCACACTGTTTTAACAACATGTTTTGTAATAAAAAATTGTCTGAAATTGATCAATCGCCTGCTTCTTTTGTAAACAAACATGGCTACCCAGTGAACGCCAATCAAAGTCAATGACCTGGTCAAGATTGACGGAGACATTACTGGACGTGTAACGAGAATAATACAACCACTAAATTCCTTTCAGGTGTATGTTTGGTAACTGTTGAAATGTGTTGTTTTTCATACCGTTTTCTACAGTTCTATATTGTGGTTCGTATGTGATTCCATTTGGTTGAGCAGTTTGGTTTCATGTGGCTGTGGGTGACTGAGATCAATTGGGATGTGGTATGTAATATATATATAATCATGTCATAGTGAAAGCTAAAGAGTAGCTTAATAAAAAAGAAAACGTGCAGTTATTGGCTGCTGGGTTTACTGTTTATGTGAACAGAACATGTGTTTAAACTACGAAGTAAATATTATCAGATAATGCACAACAACATGCATGTAATAAGAAAACAAACGGGTTGACTGCGCCTACATAAATTTGATAATTTGACAATGGCTGTAAATCAAATTTAAAAAGAAAGACTATTCCAGTTTAAAGTAATCGCCCTAATTCAATTTGAAGTTTGTAAGCTGACGTTTTAGAAACTTCGGATTTTACAGTCACTGCTACTGAGATAGACATTAATGTTTGCAAACGCTGTTGTTTAAGGTAGGTAACTATAAACAGTTGACATATGTACTTAAGCTCAGGATTTAATAGTTGAAAATATGGCATTATATTACATATCAACCTAAAACGTCCCCCTAATGATAGCTAAATTGATTATATTGTTTGATTCTCTGAGCGCTGTATATGCTATATGCGTTGTTTGTTTAATGCAGCGTTTGTTAAGGCGTTATTACAAACGTCCACATGCTCATAAACCCATATGCACTTGACTGCACAGCCCAAACTTAAATTACAATTGTCATTTATGGTCATATTCTCATACATTTTCAATAGTAATATTACATTTTTGCCAATAAGATTAACATTTCAAAAGAATGCGTATTGTTTCAGAGCATTGCCAAAAGCTAGCAGTTCGTGAACACAGGAAACAAATCGCCAGTCTGCGTGGTGTCGTATGTAATGCGTGGGAAACAAAACATGGTCACGTCAATTCTTGGCCACACAAATCTGTGACCTCTGCCATAATCAGGTGTCGATACTGTACTTAGTAAGAGATCCCAGTGAACCACATGGGAAGCGATAACTTGTGTTCCACACTGTCATGTCACATTGACATGATCTCTTTCGTCAAACATGGACACCTATCACAACATTCCCTCAGGGAATAAGATGTTCCTAAAAGAAATATTGAAGTGCCCAGCATATGTTTTCAAACACAATGATATAAACGCTCAAGACGAGTTAATAGAAAAGAGGACGTTTCGGTTGAGCAACTAGTGATGTCAGCAGTCCCTCAGTGAGTCATTCTACCCAATTAGAGCATGACGTGGTCGTGACGACAAGAGTGTGTAAGTCTAACCCGTTACATCATAGCGTGGTCAAGAAGGCACTATTATGCCGTAGTGCCACCTCTACAGCTTTGGTCATGATGACGATAGTTAGTTATTTTACCACGTTACAGCATAGAGTGGTCAAGAAGGCACTATTATGCCGTAGTGCTACCTCTACAGCAGTGGTCATGATGACGATAGTAAGTTATTTTACCACGTTACAGCATGACCTGACGACGACAGTTCGTCATATTAACCCGTAAGAACATGAGTGAGCTTGGTTTTACGCCGCTTTTAGCAATATTCCAGCAATATCACGGCGGGGGACACCAAAAAATGGGCTTCACACATTGTACCCATGTGGGGAATCGAACCCGGGTCTTCGGCGTGAAGAGCGAACGCTTTAACCACTAGGCTACCCCACCGCCCCTGAGCAACTACATTCGTCACCACTCGCCTCTTTCCATAACCTCCAAGATGACTCGTCCCCCTATTGATGCTTGTTATGTGCGAAAATACGACAAACCAATCAGAACGCGCGTAAATGATTTGATAAAAATAATCCCGAGTACTTAAATCGTTTATTGCATTATGTAATTGTTTAAAACATCATGTAGATTTTATCCTCATATTAAAGTACAAAGAACTTAGCTAACAGGATTTTTCTGCCTATTATTAGGTTTTTTGATAAGAATCATGCAATTGGCGGTGAGAGATTCAAATACACGCACGTGCGTTTGTTGACATAATGGCTCCCTTGGGTCCAACTGAGGGTATTTTGGACGATCTTGCGGGCTTGCTATGGAGATTGTACGTGTGCTTCTAACAATTATAGGAAATGTAATTATAAATCGCTACGAGTTTCAAAACAATAACATTAGACATATATCTGCATGTAACTAATCAACTTTAATCTTTAACGTTGGGCATATATTTCACTTCTCTGGGAATATTTTAGTCTGACTTTTTATTATGGGTCATTCACATGAATTTCAGCAAATCATTTAAAATCCCACTTGGGGCATGAGAGCAAGGTTACACGAATGTTCATTTTGAGAAATATTTTAAAGTCTTTTTTGAGTTTCTGCTTTGGGATTTAATGTAGCTTTTATAACTTTTATTTACATACTTAATAAAACAAATCCCATTTGTGATTATCAAACCCTATTTAGAAATATAATTGGAAATATAAGGTGAATAATTACGTCAGAATAGGTCTGTTACAAATAAGTTTTTCGCCTTCTTTTAGTTGTATCAAAAAGGTTTAATTCTTTAAAAACATAAACAGCAATACAATGTATGATTAACTCGGTGATATTAAGTACCATTGGAATCAGACAAGAATAGAGTTATCGTTCCTGTTTAAAGTAGTTCTGATGTTCCTACGCCAATATGAAATCCTTCCAGAGGGGCACGAGTCGCGGTTTGTCCCAGAATAACACGAGTTGCAACTTCAGCAACTATATTTAGCTGCTATATGCATGAGCGGTAGGGGAAATATATCTTGTTAATTTCTACATACTTGCTCATTATCGTTCAACCAATAGCCGTCACTCCACAAAAATGTATATATGATCATATTTG